AGTTAGGTGGGATCCAGGGAGACGGAAGTGGAGAGAGGGCATTTTTATACCCTTCCGTGATAGAACCATGGCTGCATTATCCGTTCCCTGAGAGCACTCATTACTTTCTTCCAAGTAGCAGTCTGGTCTCAGGATCTGTTCCACCTTCTGTGAGTAAATACTCTGACCCCTGGGATGGGTGAGGAAGGGTCTGACCACGAGGACCCACAGTCACCCTCCAGGCAGATGCAGAAGGGTGATGAGTGACTCTTTGGACTAACTTTTTTTTTTTTTTTTGGTACTAGGAATCGAACTCACAACCTCACACATGCCAGGCAGGCGCTGTGCAGCTGAGCTAAATCCCCGGCCCTGCTCTTTGGGTTTTTCCGTTTGTTTGCTTGTTGTACGGCTGAGGCTGGAACCCCGGAGGAGGAGGGGATCAAGTATCCCCCAAGCCTGGGACCTGTGAGAATGTTCCAGCTGTGGCCCAGCTTTGCCACTGAAACCACATGGTTTGAGCCAAGGCAGAGTCTCTGAGCTTTACCTTCCCACCAACAGGAATGATAATAATTACAGCAGAACGCTGTCTTGCCCACAGGTTATAGGTCAAGCTCACACAAGACAAATGAAAGTAACTCATGCAGGTGGCATGCATGTCCTAGAGAAGGATAAACGTCTCCTGGCCCCAGTGCCTGGTTTTCAGTCCTGCTCTGCTCTGCACATGCTGTGTGACCTTGGGCAAGTTACCTAACCTCTCTGTACCTCAGCTTCTTCATCTACAAGAAAGGATCCCAGCACCGTTGTCATAGAGGTGGAGGATTCAAATGAGTGAACTGTTCAGCGCTCAGAAGGGCACTGAGCAGACAGTCAATACCATGCTGCATAAATAGGGCTTGAGTGAGACTAAGGTGATTACCTCTCAGATACAGAAGCGGGGTTCTGCTGCACCTGTATGGGGAGGAGAAAACAGGAAGCCTTGCGCGTGCCCTGGACTTGGAGTCCAGGGGTTAAAAGAGCCATAAAAATGCTGAAGTAAATGATGATGGTCTGGAGCCGGGAGGCCCACCCCGTGGCCACCCCAGGAAATCTCTCCCCATCTCGCCCACACTCACCTCCTTGGCTTGTCTCTGGCCAAAGGTCCACATTTGTACAATGTGTTGCCACAGACGTCCCTTCCTGAGGGCTCTGGCCTCTGGCCGGGTGGCACAGATCTGAGGGAGCGGCGGTGGGTGTGGTGGGGACAGGAAAGGCCAGGCTGACCATAGATACGGGCATCTTTGGCTCTTTGCACAGAGTAGCTGAGTAGTAAGGTTACTGAATGTGAAGGCGGAGAAAGATTCTTTCTGCTCCTTGTTCATCCCTGGACATAGTATACCTTATTTCAGCCTGAATGGCTCCGGAGATTTAAGGGGTCCGTGGGCTGTCATAGCCTTCTCTTCTGACCCTCACAGCCGCCCTTGTGCAGGCTGGTATCAGCGTCCTCGGATAAGAAGACAGACGTCAGCTGGGTGTGGCGGTGCATACCGGTTGCTCAGGAGATTGAGGCAGGATCATAAATGCTAGGCCAGCATGAGCTGGAAACTTAGCAAGACCCTGCCTCAAAATAAAATACAAAAGGGCTGCGAATGTAGCTCAGTGTTCCCTGGTTTAATCTCTAGTACAAAGACAAAAGTTGGGTCAGAGAAATTGGGTGGACATCTTCTTTGTGTGTTTTGTTTTGAGACACGGTCTCACTATGTAGTTCAGGCTGGCCTTGAACTCACTTATGTAGCCCAGGCTGGCCTCGAATTCTAAGTGATCCTCCTGCCTCAGCCTCCTGAGTGCTGGGATTATAGATATGTGCCACCATGCCCAGCATGGGTGGGTATCTTGAGAACACATGGCTTCCTCACAGAAGGACTCAGGGTTCTAACTGTTGTCTCGTATCTTCTCATCCGGTGTTTTTTCTACTACAGAAAAAACAGCCCAGTACAGGCTACAGCAGGTCGAGCATGTCTGCACCTGCCAATGACAGAGGCACCCAGAGCACTCTGTCGGATGGAAGGAGGGGAGGGTATCCAGTTCCAGAGCTTCGGTAGGGGCTGGGGAACGGATCACAGCGGGGATACCGATGTCTCCTCTGCTCTGCTGGTTTTCCCACAGCAAAACAATCCCAACACTGCAGATATGGACGAAGGCCAGAGCTTATAGATGGAGAAGAACCGTCCTTATTTCCGCTCCTTGCTTTACCCCAAGGATGAGAAAATGAGAGGAAGACAGGTGGTTTCCCAGCTTGCATCCTGAATGCTGTCAGAAAGAAGGCTGGTGCGTCAGGACACGGAGTAATACCTCCCACAGGCAGAGGTGCTCAGATTCCACTTAGGAATTCTGGGTCTCATCTTGAGAACTTCTGGGCACCTGGACCCATGGAGGGTGTATCACCGTGGTTGAAAAATCAGTTCTCGGGCATGGCTGTGCCAAAGGTTAGGTGGTTACATCCAGGCCACGGGACGCGTTGTATATGTAGTTGAAAATTCAGTGAAATCAAAAAATGGGACACAATCTTATTTTTATATGATTTTTAGCACTCCGCACTCCTACTTTAAATGTCTTGACCTCGTTCTGGCTGCCTTGTCGCTCAACAGACAAATGTTTCTGGCAAAGCTGCTTCCTCTAAGGCTGCGCTGCCCTCTACTGGAAAAATTGTGCATGGCATGAACTTTGCTAGGGATTCACCAGGTAAGCGGGATTTCCAGGCTGCAATAATTTAATTTCCAGGCAGTGGTGGTGGTGGAGGCGGTGCAGTTAACCTAGTCTCGTTTTTTGCCTAGGCCTGTACAGCTCTGTATTTTGCTGCTCTTCCCCTTTCTTTGATGGTTCAGGGCAGACTTTTATATTATATATATCTTGCAGTGGGGAATGAATATTCCCTGGCAAGGAACAGGAACTTAGCAGGAATTCCTCGCAGCCGCACTGAGAATACACTGGTCTCAAGGATGGTGTTCCAACGTGAACCGTGACTCCGATGAAAGAGGCTAGAGCTGAGCACATGGGCCACGTTTTTTCTGTGCCCTGTCCCACCCTTGGATTTGCTGTTAGAAAACAGTTAAAGATACTAATCCTACCTCCCCACAACTGTCACACCCCATCTGTCTCCATTTTATTTTGCCTAGTGTGTGTCACTGTCTGACACGCTACTGAATATATTTTGCTTGTTTCCTTTTTTTCCCCCTTTTGTTTTCTGGTGTTGAGGACGGAATTCAGGACCTCATGCACCCCAGCAAGGGCTCTACAGGTGAGCTACGCCCTCAGATGCCTCAGCGTACTGTTCATTGTCTGTTTCCTTCCACTATGAGATAAGCTCATGAAAGCAGACATCGTTGTGTCTTTTGTTCGTGGTGGGAAGAGAACAGTGCCCACCCTTTGGAGGTATTTGAAAAGTATTTGTGGAATAAATGAAGCCTGGCGTTATCACCTTCAATGGCTGCGGGATCTACACTTCTTTTCCTCAGCCTGAAGGACTTAATGTCTCTGCCTCAGCTTTTTGTGAGGACTTTCTGTAGAGCGCTGGAAGCTGGGAAGCCAGTGAGGTCTGTACCTGGTGACAAGCAACGGGGATACACGCTACAAGCAGGCACTTGCCCTCTACCCGGCTTGGCTAGGGATCAGTGACTCTAGGGAAGCTTTGCAGAGTTCAGAAGGCAGAAAGCTGGGGAGAAACTATAAACCAACAGGCCCTAGAATAAATGTGGGGGGGCTTAGCACAGCGCGGGTGAAGCACACTGTAAGTGTAATTTACATATCCACATAAAATTATATTACATAGCTGCAATTTCCCGATCTAGTCTCAGTA